TCCACAGTTCGTCCGGGGAAGCGCGCCCCGGTTCTCCGTCCACCTTTCTGGTAAAGCCTCCCCCGCGTTCCTTGGCGGGCGTTCAGAAGCAGGTTGGTTTAAGCACGGATTCGGATATACTGTAGCAATAAAACAGAGAGTCGCTAACTTTGGCCTTTTTCAGCTTAGGGATGTGGAAGGTAAACTTGCCGTAAGTAGGAATTTTCAATAATAATAATAATAATAATAATAATTCAGTGTTTCTTAAAGGGTGTTCCTAGGACCCCTGGGGTCCCCCATGACCCTCGGGGGGGGGGTCAAATCGAAATGATTTGCCAGCCTATGTTGAAAAATAATACCGTATTGAAACCCCATCAAACAGTCGTGAGAAGCGATACCGATGCAAATGCCTCCATTTAAATGTTTAATATGGTAACTAGTGATAAAAATAACCCATCAAATAAAAGCTCTGTTGGGGTCCTCCATCCTTTTTAAAAGTGGGAAGGGGCCCAGCGAGAAAAAGTTTAAGAAACGCAGGTATAATTTGTAAGCCGCTCTTTATTTAAATACGTATTTTATTTATTCGAATTTATTAGCTGCCTGACTCCAATAGACGGTGGGTGGCATACACAGCTGAAAAATAAAAACTTTTCAGTGTACAGAATTCAAGTAAAACACAAAACAACAAATATGCACAGCTCATTTTTAAGGGCTGAAAGCAAGGCATTTTATCCTCAGAATTTTTGTGTGACAACCACAGAAGGTAGGCCGGTATGATTATAATTGTGGGTGGACTGAGACTTGAGCAAAACTTGCTGGTTCATAGCTTGGGCTCACATGTCTCTGAAAGGTAGACATTACCTGTGAAAATGTTGCCCATGAAGATGTCCAATGAGGGATGAAAAGCTTTATCAGTTGGATTTCTGCCTGACCCACAGCAGTTACAGATATAGGACCCTTACTGAAGTACCATATATGTGAATATTCTTAAAAAAAAACAAAAAACTACCATATAAATGTACTTGGCTCAGGGATAGATAATACTTTCCTTGGAATAGTGGTTCTCTGTCTCATAATCTTAAATCCCCAAATAATTTTAGTAAAGAATCTGGGTCTCACCAAGATTAATTCTATTATATCTGGTTTGCATAAATCCAGGTAGCCATTAAATGGCAGCAAAGAGGTTCAAAACACTAATTCTTCTCTGACATCTAGTGGTCATCCAGATTTTGCATTCTAGATATGGTAAATCTAACTAAGAAAAGGCTTTTTTTTTTCCCCCTGAGAAAACAATTTATATGTTTCCTGGCATTGCTATCACTTATCAGGTAAGCTTTAAAGAACAAAAAAAAAAAATCAATAATGCTGCTGATAATTCTTGCTGTAAAAATAACTAGTGGATGGTAACTGGGGGACTGAAGCTGTGGGACGTTTAGCACTGTGGGAAGACTCCCAGAGTCTCAACCAAGAAATAAGTCCAAATGATGACTTTAAGCTAAGTGGAGCTGAAGCAGGCTTGGTGCTGTTGCAGCAGTCGTCCTCTAAGCCCAAACAAGAAATTAGTCCCAACAGTGAGAGCTAATGCTTTGAAAACATTATGCCCTGCCCTGTACTCTTAAAGACAAGAAATCAAGGAAGTTGAAAATAGATGCAGTGCAACATCAGGTTAATAAACAGTATATTAGCAAATAAGATTCTGAAGGGACTTAATTCAGTTCTACAGCTGGAGCTAAGCAGACTAGACCTGTCAATCAATCAATCAAGTTTATTACAGCCCGAAGGCCAAATACAGTCAAAATATCTAATAAAAGCAGTATTACATCCTTCTACACACACACACACACACAAGTATAAAACAGAAAAAACAGTAGGGTCTAAAATAATTAAGAATAAAAATACTAAAATGAATCAAAATATTATTATAAGAAATTCCAAACCTAGGCAATGGTGCGGCATATCGTACAGACGGTAACACAAAACTGGACAACTTGGGCAGTTACTTTTGAATCCTTATCCGAAAGAAGAAATCACACTTCCTACCTGGAAATTTCTTCAAGATTGGATATATAAGGGTCTGTCTAGAGTCTTTGTATAAGGAGCAATATAGTAGCTCCTCTAAGTGGCTTAGAACTAGACCTATCAGCTTCCTGGATGGGTGACTTGGTTGTATGAACACCTTGGCAGAAGGTGCTGGGGCAGCCGCAGGAACATTCATTGGCTCCAAAATGTTGGATGCAACGGGCAATCAAAGTCCCATCTCTTTTCAACATACATCACATACACCTAAAAAGGGCTTTGATCACCCTATCCCACCTGCCATGCTGAAGCCATGGACCATCACTGCAGACACCCCCTGAAAAGTGGAGCCTAAATGTTGTAGGAATAAAACAGCATGAGGAAAATAAAATCAGGTCATCCCAAAATGATGTTAGCATGCAAAAAGAAGCATTAGAGAAAACGATTCAACCACAGGGCAGAAGAATACCAGGCCTGCATTTACTAGCCACCATGAGCCCAGATTTTTTATGCACACTGAGGAGAGGAGCTCGGAGATGGAAGCTTGCTATTCCAGCTCTTGATGAACAACTCCAAACAGGCCTGGCCTGCAGAACTAGGAATGAGGGATGCTGGGAGCTGTAGTTCAATTATAGCTGGAGGGCCCCAGTAATTTTCAGATTGTGGAAGAGCTCTAATGTTTCCAAACAAATAACATCTCTCGTTTCTTAATGAACTTTCTCTTGAAAGGAAAAAAAAATCACAGAAGGCAAAATTCAAAAGCTTTTCATGTGAAGATCAATGGCATCTGGATTTCTTGTAACATTTTTGGTGATTACGCAATAACCATCTCATCTGGAATCAAGCTTTGTAGGAAAGTTAGTTAAGGACTTCTTAATAATATCTGAATCAGTGGTTCTTTCTCTGAAGGAAATTTAGTCATCACTCTTGATTTCTTCTCATAGGTCTTAGTCTTTCAGCAATGCTGGAGATATTCTAAGGACAGTCCCTGTTTACAAGGAGCAACATGGAGAGGTGAACCATAATTTCTCCAATGGCAATCTTTGTTCCGTAAATCTATTTTATAGGATGATGTAACATTATTCAGAGAGTAGATGTTAAGTGTATCTTGGCAATTCAAACATACAAGGAATTCAAGGGTGCAAGGGTTTATAAGAATATTTATTGTAGAAAAGCTAACAGAACCATTATGAAAGAATTCCAGTGACTGCTGTGTATGAAATGCAAACCTTTTTTTAATAGTGAAATCGGGCTTCCAATTTGGGCACCATTGCCCCACCCATGCAATGAAATGGACGGGGAAGTGCGAAGAAAGATGTTACATGGAAAAGGCGAAGGGATCTTTCTGGTTTGTTTTGCTTTGTTTTGCTTAAGGCAACAACATCTGCATGAACAGTTGTGCCATGGAACTTATCCCAGAAACTTTTTCAACATACAGGATTTTTTTCAGCAAACAACTGCATTGTCATGGCCCAGTTTGCGATCTCATCATGTTTTGAGAATGTATTGGAGACGTATTGCTCCATATCTGTTTTCCAGCTCATAAAAGCGTCCACAAAGAACTGTGATGTTCACATTAAAATCCCTGTTAGTTTCCCGACTGCCTAACCAGATGTGGCAAGTACCCTAAGGAAGAAATGTCAAATGTTCTTTTCTTACAGGAGGGTGTGGTTTTTTTGAGGGGGGGGGGAGACAGGGGGAAAAACCCTCCATATTTTCATATGTGTGGCTAGTCTTAATGGGGAAAATGTCCTTCGCTTGACTTCTTTTGACTCTTTTCATGCACATGAAGCTTTGTTATTTTTCTCAGTCCCTGTGTTTTTATTGTATTATGAGAGCAACAGTTCTCAATCTGCATGCCAGTGCATTCAATTCAGAGAATGCTGGTTTTGTGCTGATATATATTTTTTTACATGTTTCAGGCTCCCTTTTCTCCACTCCCATATTGTTTTAAGTTGTAGATGTTTTCTTAGGATCCTTATGATTCTGTCTCTGAGTATATTCACGTTCAAAGTCTGTTACTTTATTATAAAACTTATTGTGCAAAGCCTCCATCCCAGGCTTATTTTTTTAAAAAAGATGATTAAATTTTAGGTCAGCCCCTTTTTTTAACACTCAGAATCTGAGAAGCGAGAGGCTTCAAGGCTTTGGAACAATAAACAGAAGTGTAATGGAGCCCTAAGGTGTGATGGAATACATTGGGTGGCCTGCTGTTTTAGTAGGTGGGCTGTGTGACAGTGCTAAAAATGAAGAGGAAAGATTCACCAATTTTTTTTTTTAAAAGTAGCAGAAGAGGGCATGGTTTTACACAACATTTGCATGTATTAATGTATATGTATGGGTTGTAGAAATATATTTTAAATAGAAATATGTAACATCTGACAACTACTACCGAGGTCATAAACTGGATTATCTGAGCCTAGAGGGACCCATGCAGACCTAATTTGGTCCTGGAAGCCCTTAAAGCCCCCTCCAACGACAATTGCTAAAAATGAGGGACATGATTTCCTACAATTCTGAGATAGTGAAACGTTCTGGCCATCGCAGGGTCCCTGCGGTCATGTGGTTGCCATTTGAGGCCTTCATTGCTGGCTCCCTATGAGCAAAGTCGATGGGGAAGCCAGCAGGAGGTCGCAAACGGTGACCACATGATGTCCTCACTTAACGACCTAGGGTGATTCACTTAACGATAGCAAAGGGGAAATGCCATAAATGCCGTCACTAAGTAACGCGGTCACGTGACATCGTGTTCTATGACTGCATCATTTAGTGATGGAAATTCCGGTTTCAATTGTCATTGTTAACCGAGGACTACTTGCATCCTGAGGGGCTAGGCTGGATAACAGAAATCAACTTCAGCCACGTCCACTTTGGCAGCCATTTTATGAGTAGGCATGCCTCCCATGGAGCCCCTTTCTTTGTCCATGTCATGTCTCAAAATGGTAACATGCTTCCTGGCTTTAAAAGACTGGGAATCATTACAATAAGGAGTGGACAGTGAAATAATGAATACTCCAACACTTTAGCTGTCAGGCAGTGCAGCCAATAGTCAGGTTATGGGAAGAGACCTAAGAACCTCAATTTTTCAGCCAAAACT